TAGAAAATTACTACGAATCTGAAGATTTTATCCCCTTAACCTGCTCAGATAAAGAATGAATCTACCACAATTGGACCAACACCCTCATCATCAAAGTTTTTGGTAGAAGAGTAGGGTTCCCTTTCCTACAACAAAAGATAAATGCTATTTGGAAACCCACAGAACCCCTGGCGTTAATTGACTTAGGGTATGACTACTTTTTAATAAAATTTTCTAAACCTAAAAACTATGATAAAGCCCTCCATGGTGGATCGTGGTTCATAGGAAACCAATTCCTTACTATAAGAAAATGGGAACCCAATTTTATAGCATCAACAACATCCCTAACATATTCAGCTATTTGGGTGAGACTACCAGAACTCCCAACTGAGTTCTATGACTATGAAATCTTGCAAAAATAAGGCAACAAACTAGGAAAATTACTTCGCATAGATGCATGTACATCATCGACCACAAGGGGCAAATATGCTAGAGTATGTATCCTCGTTCATGTAGAAAGTCCTCTAAAAACTTATATTATCATAGGTCAACACCACCAAAGAATTGCCTATGTGGGATTTAACTTACTATGTGCCCTTTATGGAAGGCTAGGTCACATTCAGACAAAATATCCACATAGAAAAAATCACAAGGATAATGATAAGGTGATTAGTACAAACGACCACAAGGAAAATCAAGAACTAGAAACCCTAACAAAAGAAGTTGACAAATGGACCATCATAACACACCAAAGAAAGACAAAGAAAAGACAGAACAACTAAAGATAAGTAAACCAAATCTAAGCCAACCCAAAATAGATACTAAACAACTAGGGAAAACTCCGGTAGCTACTTCATCTCTGATGGCTGGCCAAAGTCAAGGGCATGCTCACAAACAAGAGTACAGGAGGAAAACCATAGAACACACCAATAGTACGAGTACTACACAACATACAATGAACAATAGTTTGACCATGGGGATGATGGAGGGAAACCAATTTAGTGCATTAAATTCCATCTAAGAAAACCTTGATAATTACCCCATAACCCTAGGCGGAAACAAGCACCAACACTTTAATAAAACTCTAAACACTTTAGGTAAAGACACTAACCAATCAAGCCCCATCACACATTTAAAAGACCACACCAATAGCCAAGGACCTGGATGCATAAATGACAAGGGAAGGACATGATCCTCATGTTTATCCTCTAGTTCAAAAGAAGCCAAAAGCGATGATATGGACCTCAGTTATCTCCAAATGTAGACAATGTCACAACAACCATTAATGCTGAAAATAATTCTGATATCATTTCTCCAAAAACAAACAACTCGCTAGATGCTACCAACCCCCTAGGAACAAAATATGATGATCAAGACATGATAGACTCCAATGATAAAACACTACTAACACAAGCCCAAAACCACATATCAACCCGGCATAAAGACTACACCTCACCACTAAGTAATAGTTTAGCTGAAAATAATACTAACAGGGAAAACAAAAATGCCAAGATTACCAACAACCAGCTACTACCGGAGGCACCAAAGAAACAACAGGAGGAATATATGGAGACGCGACTAATACCAGACAAACGCTCCCATGAACTTTTCTCCCATGAACAGGAGCCAACCAATCGTCTACACAATGCCACAGTTACCCCAGAACCATGTTCCCCAGTCATGGTTGGAATAGGGCCTAGCGGGATACACTCTGAACATGAGCTTGCAACACAACGGGCAGGACATCATTGTCCAGGTCAAAGACCCCAACAAGTTGGCCCAAATTGTGACGGAGGGTTTGAGAATCGGATTGGAAAACATAGCAAACCACCCATGGCTACTACCAATGAACCCACAATCCCAAATTCACCCAACATACCGAACCATGGCAGCCCACCCATCCCTTTAGATATGCCAACAGTGGAACCCTCCCAGCTCCCCAATAGCCCTAAGCATGAGCCTGTCACTCTTTCATAACCTTACTCACCCTTCACAATCACCCCTCCCCCCACAAACACCCTCACAATACCAGGAACCAGCCATGCAGCAGAATTCTCACCTCAACAATAACTTCCAGAACCAAACTCCACTAGAAACGCCAATGCCAAACCCGTCGACCACCAACAACAATCTGACAACCACGATGATGGAACCTCCCCCCAGCAAGCCCAACTATAGATAGACGAGGAGGATAAAGAGGAAGGATCCTCAACAACAATGAGGGTGGAGTACGGTATGTTAAGGGAATCAAAAACACTGGTGTTCAAGGAAAGAAAAGAAAAAAGACACATTTTGTGTTGCCATCAGGATTTGAGGAAATGCTCGATAAATATAATGGCATTAATGAGCCCACCAACAATGTACAAGTACGGGGTAGTGATGATCCCAACAATGTACTCTAACCACTGGACCAACTAGCCAATATGGACATGGTAGACCCCTCATCTCCAATTAGCTCAACCTATGTTCAGGGGGAGAGCATCCAACCAACCAATAGATCAATGACTATGATCATTTGGAATTGCCGAGGAGCGGGGAATGATGAGTTTAGAAGAAATTTCATATCAATGCTCAACTACAACAAACCGTCCTTGGTTGCCCTACTTGAAACCAAGATGATAGAACACAATGACTTGGTTAGGGACTTTGGCTTCTATCACCTTGCCCAAGTTGCATCCCAGGGAAACTCAGGAGGAATGGTCATGATGTGGAACAAAGAAGAAGTGTTGGTGAATCAAATAGGCACCACTGATCAAGAAATCCATGCCATGATCAAGGTAAAAAATTCTCCCAAACATTGGCTTTTATCTGTTGTTTACCCTAGTAATATAATAGATGAAAGAAACATATTATGGAATAACCTAAAAACTGTAGCAAGTAGTTATAAGGGCCCATGGCTAGTAACATGGGATTTTAACGACATTACTAGGGCTAGTGAAATATTTGGGGGCTTCCTATTAACTACGGTAGAATTTCTAGGCTTCTTAATTGTCCAGACTTTTGAGGCCTCTTAGATTTAGGTTATAAGGGCTCAAAGTATACATGGACTAATAAGAGAAAAAAAAAACCATTATCATGGAACGTCTGGATAGATACGTTGCTAACTCAGAATGGATTAATATACTCCCAGAAGCCCATGTAACCCACTTAACAAGAATATACTTGGACCACTGTCCCCTTAAACTAAATCTTGTAAAAAACTACAGTCGCAATTTAAGGTCTTTAGAGTCGAATCCATGTGGCTCTCACATCCAACGTTTAAAAACCTAGTCAAATACTTCTGGGTCAATCAAGATAATATTATAGCGGCAATTGAGAACTTTACTAAAAACGTTAAGGATTGGAATACGAATACATTTGGTAATAATTTTCATAAAAAAAACGTCATTATAAACCATCTAAATGGAATACAAAATTCCCCAAAGTACTCCACCAGTCAGTTCCTACTGGACCTAGAAACTCGCCTCCTAGAAGATCTTAATAACTTACAAATCTAGAATTCAATGGCTAAACGAGGGTGAAGCTAGCACAAAATTCTTTCACATCACTACCATGCAAAGAAGAAGAAAAAAATGAATCCTAAGCTTAAGAGATGATGTTGGAAATTGATTTTATGAACAAAGGGACATAACAGACATAATAAACAACTACTACCATTACTTATTCACTACTAGCCAAAATATTTCCTATAAGAATATCCACTATAGGTCTCACTGTGCTACCTTAGATAATGAGGCACCGGGCCCTGATGGTTTAAACTGTATAAGGCACCGGGCCCTGATGGTTTAAACTGTATAAGGCACCGGGCCCTGATGGTTTATATCCTTTCTTCTATCAAAATTTTGGGATGAAACTATGGAAAAACTAATTGATTTTTGCAAGTAGCAAAAGAATGATGGAAGAGATGATTAGTAAGTATATTTGTTTGATTCTAAAATGCCAAAATGAGGAAACCATAAAACAATATAGACCAATTAGATTATGCATTACGGCTTACAAAGTGGTTACAAAAATTATAGTCAACAAAATCAAGCTCTTTCTTTCAAAACTTATCCACCCAACCCAAACTAGTTTTATAAAGGGGAGAAGAGCCTCAGATAACACTATTATTATACATGAAGTCCTAGATCATTATAGGAAACTAAAGGGGAAGAAGCAAAAAATAATGATTAAAATCGACCTAGAAAAAACCTATGACAAGATTGAATGGTCTTTTGTAAAATTCTCCCTCACATCCCTAAAATTCCCAAAAGACCTTATTGGCCTAATCATGTCGTGCATTTCTACAACCTCTACTTCCCTCCTAATAAATGGCTCTAGTACAGATTTTTTTTACCTATTTATCATTTGTATGACAATGTTATCCCGCTCAATTCACCATGAGATCGATTGCTGTAGATGGGATCCAGTTAATTTAAATAATAATGCCCCCCACTATCTCACCTTTTCTTCGTGGATGACCTCATCCTCCTCACAACTGCTAACCAAAAGAGTTGCAACTTAATAATAGATACACTAAATAAATTCTGCAACTTCTCGGCCCAATCTATCAACTTTAGCAAATCTAGGATATTCTTCTCAAATAATACTCCAACTGATATAAGGGATAATATGAGCCACTGCCTTGCAATGAAGAGTGCCAATGAATTTGGGAAATACCTTGGCTTCCCCATGATGAGCTATAGACCTTCGAAAAAAGATTTTCAATTCATAATCGACAGGCTTAACAATAGACTTAAGGGGTGGAAGATTAATCACCTGACTCTAGCGGGAAGATCCACCCTAATCAAATCTACTCTTGCGGCTATCTCTAACCATGTTATGCAAATCTATAACTTGCCGCAAAGCACCTTGAAAAATATAGATACTATCCAAAGGAACTTTCTTTGGGGAAGCACCTCTCGAAAGAAGAAATGCCACCTGTCAAGATGGGATATAGTTGTTAAATCAAAAAAAGAAGGGGGGTTGGGGCTGTGCAAATCAAAGTGGAAGAACTACTCATTATAAGCTGTCCTAGCATGGAGGTATAAAAAGGATAATAATTCTCTATGGACAAAAGTTCTAAACAATAAGTATAACAAAAACATTAATCAACAAGATTGACTAGTACAAGATAAGAATGGCTCCCATATCTGGAAAAACATAGTAGAGGGAACCAAAATATGTATAGAAGGTGTCCGCGGAGAAATTGGAAACGATCGTTCAATCAATGCCTGGTAGGATGCATGGATCGCAGGGCCCCTTAGATCCTTAATCCAAGGTCCACTCATGAAGCATGCACATAATCAACTCCCATATGATATTATTGTCAATAATACTATCAATATCGAAGCCATTTCCTTCCACCTGCCGGATATCATAAAATACAAAGTATTTAGTACCTACATAAAACAGATCCAGCCGGCAAAAGATAATTATTCCTGGTTGACAAACACAAATGGAGAATTCACAATAAAAAGGATGGGATCGATAGTGATGGAAAGGACTATAGCTGGATATGGAAGCTGAACACCTTAAACAAAATCAAAACTTTCCTATGGACCGCAGTGCATAATCGACTTCCCACTACTCAAATGCTATCTAAAAGAAATATCTGTGACTCCAGCCTCTACGGTATTTGCGGTATCGAAGATGAGGATATAGAACATATCTTTTTCAGATGCTCCTACTCAAAAGCTAAGAACCGCCCATAACTACCCATGTTACTCCCAGCGAAAATACGCAATTCATAACTGGATTAAGGCACAGTGCCTTAACTAAAAAGAGGTTTGACAGCTACCTTGCATGGTCGGGCATCATTCCCTTCATACTACGGCATATGTGGCTTCACAGAAATGAATTTTTTTCAAAAATAACAATGCTCCCCTAAAAATATGCCATATCAAAAGCAAAGCTCTTGAGTTTAAACTACTGACGGAGCAAAGCAACCACCCAACGCCAAAAGGTACTATCTATATCAAATGGAACCCACCGGATCAAGGCACCTTCAAACTAAACATAGATGGCTCCTGTATAGGGAATCCGAGGAAAGGGGGCTTGGGAGGAGTATTCAAAAATGGAAATAGTGATTGGATTATGGGCTACAACATGACAGGGCAAATGCAACTAATATATACATGGAAGCTTTATCTCTGTTCCATGGTATTAAAGTAGATATAGAAGAGAACATACTGCCTCTGGTGATAGAAATAGATTGTAAGGAATTGATCAATATGCTCTCTAACAACTCTTGTCTTCACAAACACTTGATAATTGACTGTAGATGGATGATATCCAGAATTGGAGCCCCACCCTTGATGTACGTGTTTAGAGAAGTTAATGGAGTTGTCGATCTAATGGCGAAGAATGAGAGCAGTTCGTCTCTTTTTGGGAATCCTAAATTGTATTTTGCCCCTCCTCCTTTTGTCGCTAATGCTTTTGAAAAGGACAAGCTAGGAACTTTGTGTCCTAGAATGGTCCCAGTTTGTAATGGCTCTTAGTATGTTTGAATAAAGATTTCAAAAAAAAAAAAAAAAAAAGAAGATAACTTTAAAATTTTGGCTGAGCAAAATAATTTTTATATAACTCAACAATTAAATTGAAAAAATTAACCCAAGAATAATGATCAATGAATCAAATCAAACAACAATTATATAGTAATTAAGCTACTCTTTAAGAAAATTTTCTAATTGTAGGCGTATTTTCATGAAATATTTTTTTTGTACTTTTATCTCAAAATAGTAAATCAAACATAAAAAAGTTAAACTAAAATCGAATTTATTTGCCTTTTTTTAACAAAAGACCTAACTGGATTAACCAAAAATTAATTGAATCATCCATTCTTCTTATTTGATATTTCTGGCTAGTGGTATATATAAATAGTGACGTCCGTAACCTTCAAATTTTGGATCCGCATGTAGCTGGACCAATATGAAATAAAGTTAAAATGTTATGGTTTTTTAGTAACTTCACAGTAACCGAAAGCTCCTCAACAATGCCGCTTATTAATTAATAGTAGTAAAGTAAAGTAATGGTAAAATTTGGGCCAATGTGATGTGTTTTTTCCTAATCATTTGGCTGGGGTTTGGGGGTGGGCGGGTTAGAAATTAGAATTAAGTTTTTTAATTGCAAAATACTTTCTATTTAAGTTTGAATCATAAAATTACATCATCATTTTTGGATTCTGAATACACAGAGTAAAAATAGCTCATTTTTTGTTGACTAATCGTATTTCGTAAACATTTTGTGCTGGTAGTTTGGCACTAGTTAGTTCAATCCCGCCAATGATCTATAGAGTGTGATGTCGGACTATATAAGAGAGAATAATTTTAGCAAAATACCTTTTTCACTAAAGTTAACTACCTGTTCATATGCATTTATCATCCTTATAGTATTATTTCTCTTTTGAAACATTTGAGACCAACAATGTTGCCCAAGTTGATTGAGCTTGTGCATAAGTTGGTAAATACCGAATTACCGTACTGAAACCGAAAATTTTGATATTTGGTATTCGATATTTTGGTATTCGGTATAGTATTTGGTATAAATTTTAAATATAATTTGGTATTTAAAAATAAAATATCGAAATACCGATACCGTACCGAAATATATATTATATTACACAATACACATATTATTAATAATAACATAAATAAAAAAAATCTAAAATTTTACTTTCTTTTATTTTATAAGTTCATCAATTAACTCTAAGCAACTAACAAGACATTTCTAATGACCAAATTTATTTCTTTATGTACAATTTTCTCTCTGAGTTGATATTTGCTGGTTTTGAACAAAACTTTTGTCAACAAACGTTTTTAGTTTTGTACTTTTGAATGTTTTAATTAAGAATATTACAGTCTATGACTCTACGCATTAGTTAGTATTCAAAACGAATAACCGAAGTTACCGAACCGAATAAACCGAAATGAGAAAAACCGAAACATACCGAATTTAATTAGGTACGGTATTGGTATAGTATTTTAAGAAACCGAATACCGAAAATACCGAACCGAAATGTCTAAATACCGTACTGTACCGATCAACGAACACCCCTAGATTGAGCAAATGGTTTACCAAGTGAGAGACCTGGAATGGATTCTTCTTACCAGCAGTCTCCTCAGTCAGAGGTCGTTGTACCGGGCTTGTCTAGTACAATTTATATCTTTTGTGTGATTTGCGAGCTATTTCATAACAAACAAGTTATCCAGTGTGCACTCAAAGGATAGCGACCGGAGTTTTTCCGCGGGAATTTTCCAAAAATAGTATAACATTTTACTTATCTCTAAGCATCAGTGAAAGCTCTAAAATCAACAAATGTTAATATAAAGTCTCTCATCACTGAAAGCATTTGGTCTTTGTATGGTTGGCATATACACACTAACACACATAAGTTGTCCATGTATTTGCACAAGGAGATAAAATAAAGCACAACAATAACGATGCACAAAGAGGATGAATACCAAGAGGAGAACGGAAAATTCATATAATTTGTGAAAGTACAATTCTATGAATCAGATTTTTCTTTTCTATTAGGTTGCCTATGGAACCACATAAATATGAATAGTATATATGATATAACATAATGTATTTGTGGAGGTCTATGTCTTCTTGATAAGCTAGTCTTGACTAAAAGGCTTTGAAATATATATCATCAATTGTTTCGTCATTAATCAACTCTATTTCGTCTTTGACTGTATTTATGTTTGGACTTTATCCGTACTAACTCAAAGTTAGAACTTTCTATGGATGTGGGAGGAAAATATAGAAGCAATTCCCGAAACGTAACATAAAATGTAAATTGTTTTTTTTTTGGTTTGAATTCAAACAAAGATGTTTATTAGGTTGAATCAGCAACTAACAAGTTTACTATAATTATGAGCATATTCCTAATAGAAAGGACTAGTATAATTTTTAGACTCTCTTTTCAAATATAAGCAATCAATTTGATTAAATGATTCGTTAATTAATTGATTACTTAAATTTTTATTAATAGATAGGAGCGTACCTTCATTTTGAGCTATTAAAGTTGAAGTTATGAAAGCTATTATCACATTGATGTTGAAGTTGTTGATTATTGGGATATCTTCCCTTGTTGAATAATTCTCATTCATTTTGTTATTATTGAGATTCTTGTTCACATTGTGGTTGAGTCATGGGCTATACGTTGTGGTAACATTGGTATTGTTGATTTTGGCAAAGTGTTGTGGCATATGGGTGCGAGTTTTTCATTGTGTTGTGATATTGATACGCATGCGGTGGTATGAGGATAGGGGTTGATACGCATGCAGTGAGATAAGGTGAGATTTATACGCGTGTTGCTATAAGGGATTTACTTGAAGCCACGTGGTGAGATAAGGTTAAAACGCGTGTAGCTATTTCGAAAAAATATTTTCAAAAATAAATGCAAGGCTCACGCGGTGATATAAGAAAAATTATGATTTTGACTTGTGAAATGATATTGTGAGCTGTGGTACCTCGATTGTGATTCTTGTTGTAATTTCCATGTTAAAGAGGCTTGTTGACTGAACAACTTTGTTATCTCTTCATTTGCCTTACTTGTATTTGCCCGTATTGATTTCTTGTTGTTCTTATCATGTGTTCACTCCTTGTTGCCTTCATTGCTTTAAGTTCCGTTGTTAGCTTACATTGTTTGTGCAGATCCAGGTACTTCAGCTCAGGCTAGGCACCAGTGATTTGACCATACATTCTAGAGATTTCAAGGTATACCTGCTTAGCACTCGCAGGCCTCAGAGTCATCTTCTGTCCTTACCTTTACTACTGTTCACTCTCTATACAGACAGTGTAGTATTAGAGATCTTTAGTATATTTCTGTAGAGCTTATGACTCGGTTACACTAGATTTTAGGAGTTATTGGACAGCTGTACCGTTTGAGTTTTATTATGGTAGTTTAACAGTTTAATTTAATGTTTAAGTTATTAGCTATGCTATTTCTTAATGTATATTAGACTTACTTAGTTTTAAAGACTAGATGTCATCACGACATCCTAATATGGAGATTTGGGGTCGTGACATTTTGTTTTTTGTTTTGTTAAAATCCATATAAATTTGCAACCGGCTCCGTACTATACTAATTTTTTTAAAAAATTCTTCAACTTGTCCCGTACCCACATAGCCTTAAACCCGCCCCACCTTGCCCCACATAGCTTAGAGCAACGGTAAAGATGTCTCTTTGTGACTTATAAGTTACTGGTTCAAATCGTGGAAGCACCCACTAATGCTTGCGTTAGGATAGGCTGTCTACATCACACCCCTTGAGGTGCAGCCCTTCCTCGGACCCTGCGTGAACACGAAATACTTTGTGCACCGAGTTAGATTCATTTTATAAGGTACTCTTTTATTATGTTATAAGACATAATGGTACATTTTTGTAGTTGAATATTTTTACTTTAAGCTTCCTCATCTACCCTAATGACATGCTCATATAATTATAAAATATCATTGTATACTTAACACAACTAATTCTAAGAGCATTTATGATTAAAAAAAATTTCTTCCTTAAATTTCTTACTCAATGCTCAATGTCATATAGTAAAACTTAGGAAGTTATATTTTAATTCTATCCAGTCTAGAGAAATACTGACACAAACTTAAACTACTGCAGTTGTATTTGTATTGCTACAGTACTATAGCGACATATAGTATAGTACAAATGTTAGCTAGCTATTGCCTTCTCCTCTTGACTATTGTTGCGATTACCCCTCGCTCACGGCACACATATCTACCCCTCATTCAAGGCACACATCTACCGTCACACTCACGGCACACATACTATGTGTTTAATGCCAATACTCTGATCTAGACATCGATCGGCATAAGACTAATTACCCTTATATATGATCTTCTTATGGTCATCACACTATTTTATAATTAACCATGCTATTTATGCTAAGAATTCAACATACCTTTTTTTTATCTATTAAAGCTAGTCCCATGCTTCAAGCTCCCGTAGACCAAAAATGCCTAAGCTAGTGTTTTTCCTTGTTCTTCTCTTCTCCACCAAATTCATCCTCCACAATTATCACTAGTTTGAGTGAAGGTTCCTCTCTTTCTACATCGCAAGATACTGTGATTTCGTCACTCAATGGTGATTATGCAGCAGTGGGTGATGACGAGCGCAAAATACAACACAAAATTATTGCTCACTAGTCAAAGATAGTATAGTTTAATTATCGTCTTCACATGGATTGAATTTAAATGATGTTCGAATAATCTCAAGTTGATTACTATCCAGAATAATTAACACCTGATTTGATGACTGTTACTACGGTTAACTACTAAAAATTAAGCAAATAAAAATTGATCACAAAAGACACCAGATTAGCAACAAAGAAATATCAATGAGAGGGATAAATGTACTTGACTAGAT